TGCGCCTGGAAATGTGCCAATGGCCCCGTCTTCTGCTCTCCAGAATTATCCCTTCCTGGGCTTCTCCTCCCTAATTTTGGTGAAAAATCCATCATTATCTGCGAATGCGCCATTCTTTGTCTGCTCTAAATTCGCTTCCTGACATGGGGGGATGGGGGGTGGGCGGTAACCTGTTCCAGGACACTGGGATCTTCTGCTCCAGGGGCATCCAGGGCCCCTATAACACCATGATAGTCACTGCCTGGAAATGTGCCAATGGCCCCGTCTTCTGCTCTCCAGAATTATCCCTTCCTGGGCTTCTCCTCCCTAAGTTTGGTGAAAAATCCATCATTATCTGCGAATGCGCCATTCTTTGTCTGCTCTAAATTCCGGCTTCCTGACACCTTGGTATTCTCCCTAACATATTGTGTTACTGAAGTGCCTGCCATGACTTTGTTATCTGCAAATACTAGTAACAACTTTGATTCTTGTCACGGCTTCACAGAAACTCCTGGGGAGTCTCACTCACTCCCATGCCTCCTGACTTCTGCTCTAACTTCTTTTCTGTTGACAACTGTTTCCACCCAGAAACACTGACATCACTATATCCCCACTTAAACGTCAATCACTTTCATGCTTCTCATGAAACCATTGGGGTAGAACTGGCCATATATTCTCTTCAGTGTTTCTCATTTGTTCAATCTCATTTATTTAATGGCACTTAACTTACGTTAAATTAATTTTCCTTTTGTCACTCAAACCTGAAAACCCTCCATTTTATGTTTTCAAATAAAGTACTTCCAAGTCACTTCCTTGGCACCTCAGGAACTACGACTGTCTCCAGCAGTCACCCAAGATTCTGACCAATGAGAACCTTCCTTCACACAGAACACCCAGGATCACCTCACACTTCCATCAACTTCAATTACATTTCCTCCCAATATTCTGCCTCGCTGCCCTTTTTGTTTAAACAATTCAGCCAATGCCCTGGCCAGTGTGGTCAGTTGGTTGGGGCATTGGCCCATACAGCAAAAGGTGGTGGGTTCGATTTCCAGTCAGGGCACATACCCAGGTTGTGAGTTCGATCCTTGGTCAGGACGCATTCAGGAGGCAACCGATTGATATTTCTCACATCAATATTTCTCTCTCTCTTTTCTCTAAAATAAATTTAACA